CATGCGCAGATATGTACGTAACGCGTACCGCTTCCCGTACGCGCGGTATTTTTCAGATCTCCCGTTATCTTGGTAGCGTAGGCGTACGTAGTGTACGTAAACATGGCGGCGCTCTTGGACGCCCGCTTCGAAGTGATTTTTTTTTATTGTAACTTTCACAACCTTGTAACAAAAAACTTCGCAAACACTTGTTTTTGTCCCATAGTCTAACTGGCTAGTAGAGGGACCAATTTAGTGACATACCTACATACTTGCGCAAGCGGTTACACAGCGACAAAGGACATCAACCTAGATACAATGTTTAAAATAGAAAAAAAGCAAAAACATATGATTGAACTATACATACAAACATAGCGCAGAACATAGCTACTTGTAGCACAGAATAATAATAGCACTAGAATAATACTAATCATAATAATAATGATAATAACACTAAATGACTATGCAGACGTATTATTTAGAAAGTTCGCATGAAGTGCATGCTTCGTGGCCAATGGAAAATTTCTAGCCTCTTTCACGTCATTCGGTATCGCATTCCATATGAGAGCGCCGTGAAATTCTATGAGCCTTCGACCGTAGGCATTTCTGGCTACTGGTAAATTAAAACAGTGATTCGCTGCAGCTCTTGTACAGCGCGCGGGTAACGTAAAGGTGCTTAATGGAAATGGGTCATCACGTTTTATTATTCCATGCACTATATCAGCAACACTAGACACGTGAACAGTGTCCAGCGGAAGTACACGCATCATTTGAAACAGTTGTCTTGCAGTATCCGTCCTGTTTGAGTATGTAATAATCCGGACTGCCCTCTTTTGCAGGCGGCTAATACATTTCAAGTGAGTTTTATATGTACTTCCACACGATGCTATACAGTAGCTCAAGTGACTGTGCACGAATGCAAAATATAGGATGCGCAAAATTGATGCGCCAAAACATTCACGGGCTTTTAGTAGCGTGTGACACCCATATGCTACACTCTAAGCCAAAAATGGCCAAAATGGGAGCAACGGCTGTTTTTACTCCTTCAGACCGACTGGTACTCTCCGAAAAGACCAAGCGGAACAAGATGGCCGACTTGTTCGAGGATGGGGGAGCAACTGTATTCATCTTAGTTTGTAAGGGAGCAACGGAAGGAGGAACCGCTGTAAATGCTCTCGTCACGCAACGGTTACTCCCCGGCAGGACACCGCACACAAATATGCATGCCGCCCACATTGATATTCATGGGCCAGATTATTGTTTTGTTCTGTGTGCCAAACTTCACCAAACCAAAACAGTGATTTATTTTAGCATCCGTAGATAATAAGATAGCAGCGCTAGCTGAACACAGAAGGCCTGAGAGACAGTACGGCAAATACCTAACACACGCAGCAGCAGAATGGAGAGTTGGCACGTCAAAGCGGACCGAACGCCGAAACACGTGCAAAACAACGATAAAAAAAAGCCTAGACACGCCGTTCGTCCGCGAAGTAAGGGCGTCAAAGTCGATCAAGCACCGAAACACGGTGCATAAGGAGCCCCCCCCCCCCCCCCCCCCGTTCAGAATTTAAGAGCTATCATCTTATATTATATGCAGAAATGAAATTTTCGTAACACGAACAGCGGAGCTAATAGATGTGGAATTGACAGTAGGAATGAATAACTAATTCATGTGGTTGGTGGATGTTTAGAATCTAAACAAATATTATAGGCCCTTATTTTACCTGAAGGCTAGGCCACGGTTATGTCTTTTTTGTATAACACACAGAAGAAACGGAGTTTTGCACTATACCATGATTGTTAGCAAGATTCTTCTGACAGCGCCGAAATATTATTACAATTTTGTCAGGCGTCTTGTCACATCGACTTGCATTTGCTAAGTCTTTTTCACAGCACAACAATCATATACACACCATCCCTGCACGAAACTCCAGCAACAAGTTAACATATATCGCATAAATGAAAAAATTCGGGATCGTATTCAAGGATTAGCTGTATTGATGCCACGAATCGGGCCCGTAGCCAGCTGGGGGGGGGGGGGTGAATTATCTTCCATCCCCAAAGTTTAGAGTGGGAGAAAGGCGTGTTTTACCGAGACCAAATTGAAAAACGTATGTTTTTAGGGTCTTCAACAGGTGGCTGCGCTTCCAGTGATTAAAAAACATTAGAATGATGGAGAAGTTCACCTGACAAAATCTATTATCCTCAATGGAATGAGAATTGGACGCTCTTCACTTTTAATAAAGCCAGCATATGGGAAATCCCTCAGGGTCTTTTCACATCGACGCAAATATTGAGGATTCGTGCTTTATGCTTTTTGTGAGATACGAATATTTTAGAAAAAAGTATGGCCATTCGCAATTAGCAGTTCTGTACATTGGACATCACGTGTTCTGTGTTATTGCAGACATCATCTTCTCACCTGAATTTTCCGTTTATGAGTTGATTGCCATTTGAATCTGCATTTATTATCATGTGCGTGTTTTAATGTCATCGTGAAGCATGGTGGCACTCAATGGACACGGGTGCATCACGTGATTTCTGCTTATATATGGGAGGTTAAGGCAACATGAAAACACCGGGCGTTTTATCCCTGCTCTTTTTTTTTCTGCTGTGACTCTTGGTAAAGTTAAAAGTTGCCACCCTTACCTTTCCAACATTCACTGAACTAATGAGGATTTAGTACACACGTTCCGTGGAGTATACAATTCTTCGTCAAATTTCGTTCCCTTTTTCTTCTCTAGCAGGCCTCGCCCTGAGACTTGAAGCAGTTCATGGAAACAGGGTGACAAGACACGAGGGTTCCGGAACGTTGAAGTGCGTAGCTTTTCATGTAAATATTTTTTTTGTGGCCTTGGCTAACGTGTAGAAAGTTTCGTTTCGTGTCCATGCTCTTCTGTTTCCTGTCGAACTAACTTATTGGTGAAACCAAGTGGAAGTCCGCAACAGTTCTTGGTGTCGTGGTTGACTGTTTTACACGCTAAGTGGTTGTAGTGGTGCACGGCGGCTTTTCGTTTTTGGGGCTCCCTCAAACTATAAACGGGAGTGGTCGGCAATGAAGAACCCATAAAGAATTCCCCACTACACGTGCTAGAACGATGTGCCATGTTATGACAAACATCTACCCATCAACACATTAGAGTAGATAATGTGAGCCCATTTTTTTTTTGGCGGGGTGGCAGTACCCGTTTAAGCTATCGCAAAAATAGACTAGCTTCACACAAGGCCATGTCGTGCGATCGAAGAGCGTTTTTGGCCTCATAAAAAGAGAAAAGCAGCTTTACTGTAGCCAAGATAATATTGGGCGTCATGCAATGTGGTCTGATTGGCAGGTTTTGAGGGACATGCAGCCCTGGTTCGGTGAAGCAAGTTCCCGCGTCCGTTAGCGCAGCCCATGTATTTGCAAGCGAGCTCTGCACTTCGTTTAAAGGGATACGGCCACCGTACCAAATATTTTGATATGTACAAGATTTCAGAGGCGAAGGAGCTCGTCGACTAGCCTGTGTAACGTGGTCCCTCCGCCCGCACCACACCCCTCACCGCTGGTGCTCTCTCTTGACTTCGGCGCGCTTGCCTCGTGTCAGCTCTCTCTCTCTCTTTACCCTCTCCATCTCTTGAGCCTACTTCTCACGTGGGTCTCATCTCACCCGTGCCACATCTTTCCATCTGTCAGCGAGAAGGAGCTGCCCCAGCGTTTTTTCGTAGACACTAAGGGGAACTCTGGCGCTAGCGTCTATCGCAGCTGCAACGCACGGCGCTTCAGCGAGCATGGGAGTGATGGGTAGTACCCGTAATTGTGTAATTTTCGTCCTTCTGGCTCCGTGTGTGTTCGTGTAACTTGGAGCTAGCTGTTTTCTCACGAAACAAAAGTCAGCAAATGTTCAGTGGTTGCACTTCACCACCTTATTCATTTAACCCTTTCAGCCCTGACTTTTTTGTTTTAGTTGCAAATTTTTTTCAATGCATTTTGTCATGTTCAGAACATAAATAACATCTCCTTAAAATTTCAACTTCATAGCGTCACTGGTTACGGAGATAGAAGTATGGTGTCAAAAACGTACATCAGGGCTCAATGGTTGCAAAGTGAAATATGTGGCAGTTTTATTGAAAAAGACATTGGGCAATTCAAAATCGCCGAACTGATCAAATAGATGAAAAAGAGAAATTATACACGCATATAGAAAGCCCTGAAACAATTCCTTGACTTTGTTATGCACAGGTGAACCTTGCATTTCTCGCACATTAGGCGGGTTCTTCCTGTGCAGCCTTCCATCTTGCATCTTCTTTCTTTCGTTTTGTCGTGAAGTGGGAAATGTCCCAGCTGATCAAACCTTACATCCTCGATAGGTCTGTTTTCTGCCATCCTCGGGCGTTTTGAAACCTGCAATGGTGACAGTGAAGGCCTTCCCCTCTTAGGCACCACTGGCTTCGACCCAGCTGCTGGCAGGCCCTCAATGACTCTTTGAGTGAAGTCGAGCAGGTCAAGCTGCTTAGGGAGGTTCTGTTTGTCGGCATCACGTCTGTACTCAAGCCAAGCGTTCACCACCGCGAGGTTCATAATGTGAAACGTCATTCTCAACGTCCACTTTCGGGAGCGAATGGTAGTCCGATAAAGGAAAATCAGGAAGTCTACTTTATCGACACCGCCCATGCTGTGGTTGTATGCATTGATGACTGCTGGTCGCTTCACGTCAACGTAACACTTTTCCGCTTTGTTCCAACGACGAACGCTATCTTCGTCCTCGATAGCAATAAAGTTGGACACAAGGGTCACAGTCCTGCTATCCATCCACCTTGTTATTGCTATATTTCCATCAGCGCTGACCACGCAGTCTGAAGAACCGCAGCCGTTTTTTTTTTCAGTTCTTTTTCAGTCTTCAAGGGACACTTTTCACACCTGTTCGATCTTATAGTGCCGGCAGCAAATAGTTTTTTACCCAGCATTACACGGAGCAGTGGCAGGGACGTAAAGTAGTTGTCAAAAAAAGCTTGTGTCCCACACCAGATGGAATTCGATCAGCTTAACACAGCACTATTGCGCCGGTAACACCATACTGCTGTTTGATGTGGTCTTCGATCTTTGTTGTGGACCCCTGATAGGGCAGAAAGTCATATACAAGGCCAGATTCGCCGCAGAGCATAAATATTTTGATGCCCCAAGGGTTTGGCTTTCCTTTGACATATTGCTTGATGTCGAGGTGTCCTTTGAAGGGCACCATCTGTTCATCGATGCAGAGGCGCTCCTTTGCTACAAGTGACTTGCACTTTCTTTGGAAGATGTCAAGCAATGGCCTTACTTTCCAGAGACGGTCAGTAGCGTCAGGGTAATTCACATCCACAATGTGCAGGTTATTTCGCAATTTTTCGAAGTGGTTGCGCGACAATCCTGCAGATGCCACGATATCGCATCTCATGCTCGGCTTCCAGTAGAGTCTGAGCTTCGGGTAATGGAGAACACCCATTGTGAGATGTAGTGCGACTAGACGCCTTATCCCTGCCTCGTTGGTGTTGATTGAGCTTCCTTCGTGAAACACTGAGTAGTGGTTTGTTTTTTCAGCCAGCTCCAGAAATACACTATTTGGCACATATTCTTTGAAATATTCGTAGGGAGACAGCAACTCTCTGAGTTCCGATGCTTTGTGGACATCGCCTTTGTAAGTTGAGTCTGGCGCCTCTAATAATTTTCGTCTCCAGCCGCCAGATGTGTTCAGTGCACTCTCGTCATCGCAGCTTTCAGTGTCGCTCTCCACTGGATCTTCATCAGGAGCACAAGGCACCACACTCTCGTCGTCTGATTCATCGAATTCCCCGTCTACGTCGGATAGGTTACCGTTGTCGAGCTCCTCAAACAGCGCGTCCGTTGTTGCTTGTAGCCGTGTGGAACGGGTTCGGTGACACGATTAAAACGAAGTCACAGGTATACCCGCACCTGCGAACACAGAAAAACAGGTTAATTAACATACCGCGTCAGCATTCGTTCAGATATCGCTCGTCGAAGACACGCACCACAATCGACTCGGACACCGACATTTGCAACCGTTGAGCCCTGATGGTGTCAAAATCGTGCATGACAAAAGCATGCCACTGCAAAAATGCTGCACATGCAAACAAAAAACTCAAACATCTTCTAACTAACGTACTACTAAGGCACAACATACAAAAAACTGGGCGCATAATACAAAAGAATTACATAGCTACAATTGCAGAAAATCGGAACTTACCCGGCTCCGCGTTCGCCATGATGTCGCCGCTGCTTCTTCTTTCTTGTGAATTCCGTGCTCGAAACAACACGAGAGTACTGATGTCTATGGCAGTAGTTGGGCCGAAACTTCACATTGGGCAAAAAATTGCGAGTTTTTGTTTCGATTTCTCGGCGTGGCGGTACCATTTCTCGTGTGGTGTCAATTGACACCGCCAGGGCCGAAAGGGTTAAGTTTACTATTTCAAATCGGGTCACGAACAGGAAATTCAAAAGACTTCGTTCTTTTCTTCAAAACGAAACTGAAACTAGCAATAAATGAAGCCGCAAGTACTATTCGCCGCCAGCAAGTACAAAGACTAGGCAAATTTGTTTACTGTATGCCCATCATTCCCGTGGTCGCTGAACGATCACAGCGCTAGAATCCCCACTGGTTAACCTTAAGAAACTCTATGGGATCCGCGAGCCGACGGGTGCGCGGAATGCGCGTGCCTTGAGAATCTCGCGGTGCCGACAGTGTGGACAGCGCATGGCTGCTTGCCACGCGTTCGCACCGACGGGTGGGGCGCCGTCGCAGCATGCTTCCCATTAGTGTACGCGTACCTTTCCCGGCTGTCGCTGGCGTTGCGAGGGTTAGCGAAGCCGAACGTCTTCGCGAAGGGGGAAGTAACACCATGGTGTTAGATACAAACAGTTTAGGTGGGTACACTTCTCGGCTACCTCAAGGGACGCGATTGGCCAGATAAAGTAACAGCGACGCGCGTCAATCAGACTGCAGTGAGCAGCGAACTTACCGTCAAGCTATGGAAACTTCAAAATAATAGAGAGTTATAGTATACCACGCTTACGGGGTCACCGGGTGTACCGTGATACCGGAATCGAAGTGCGCATGCGCAGATACGTACGTAACGCGTACCGCTTCCCGTACGCGCGGTATTTTTCAGATCTCCCGTTACCTTGGTAGCGTAGGCGTACGTAGTGTACGTAAACATGGCGGCGCTCTTGGACGCCCGCTTCGAAGTGATTTTTTTTATTGTAACTTTCACAACCTTGTAACAAAAAACTTCGCAAACACTTGTTTTGTCCCATAGCCTAACTTGCTAGTAGAGGGACATATTGTGTGACATACCTACATACTTGCGCAAGCGGTTACACAGCGACAAAGGACATCAACCTAGATACAATGTTTAAAATAGAAAAAAAGCAAAAACATATGATTGATCTATACAAACAAACAGCGCAGAATATAGCGACTTATAGCACAGAATAATAATAGCACTAGAATAATACTAATCATAATAATAATGATAATAATACTAAATGACTATGCAGACGTATTATTTAGAAAGTTCGCATGAAGTGCATGCTTCGTGGCCAATGGAAAATTTCTAGCCTCTTTCACATCATTCGGTATCGCATTCCATATGAGAGCGCCGTGAAATTCTATGAGCCTTCGACCGTAGGCATTTCTGGCTACTGGTAAATTAAAACAGTGATTCGCTGCAGCTCTTGTACAGCGCGCGGTAACGTAAAGGTGCTTAATGGGAATGGGTCATCACGTTTTATTATTCCATGCACTATATCAGCAACACTAGACACGTGAACAGAGTCCAGCGGAAGTACACGCATCATTTGAAACAGTGGTTTTGCAGTATCCGTCCTGTTTGAGTATGTAATAATCCGGACTGCCCTCTTTTGCAGGCGGCTAATACATTTCAAATGAGGTTCATATGTACTGCCACACGATGCTATACAGTAGCTCAAGTGACTGTGCACGAATGCAAAATATAGGATGCGCAAAATCGATGCGCCAAAGCATTCACGGGCTTTTAGTAGCGTGTGACACCCATATGCTAGCTTGGAGCATGTCTTTTCTATATGCGATTTCCAGTTCATGTCCGAGTCAAACATGACCCCTAAGTACTTAAACGAGGCTAATGGCTGTAGCAGTGCCGTATCTAAAACCAATTTGAAACCTGCAAAGTCGAGTTCTTTTTTCCTAGAGTGAAAGACCACGTATTTAGTTTTCTCTGTGTTGATAGTAAGGTGGTTTCGTTTAAACCATACTTGTACTCTCTGTAACTCTTCGTTAATTTTATCTTCGATGTCTCTTAAGCTGTCACCAACAAAGATTAGTGCCGTATCGTCTGTGTACATTAAAGCTTCTTAATATAGTAGGATGGAGAAAAATCGTTAACATACAGGGAAAAAAGAGTGGGTCCAATAACTGAGCCTTGTGGTACCCCGGAGACTATTGATTGAGTAGTGGACTCGACGCCATTCATCATTACTCGTTGCTGGCGGGCGGATAGGTATGATTTGAGAAGCTGGTGAATTTTGCCTCGAAAACCGTAGTCATGAAGCTTATTTAATATGATGTTGTGGTTGACGGAATCGAAAGCTTTTCTTATGTCTAAAAAAACTACGACGGATATCTTATTGTTGTTCAAGGCTTTGTTAACTTGTTGGGTTAATACCAAAACTGCAGTAGATGTAGATCTGTGTGCTCCAAAAAACCATGCTGGTTTGAGCAAATTATATCATGTTTGGATGTAAATGATGTTATCTGCACTTATAGAATTTTTTTCAAAAATTGTACTAATTACACTTAACACAGATATTGTTCTGTAATTAGATACACTTGATCGGTCTCCATCTTTGTATACAGGGACGACTTTGCCCAACTTAAGCTCATTTGGGTATATACCACAGTCCCGCCAGTGTTGAAACATGTGAAGCAACTGGAAATTTTGGCGTAGTTGTTGAAATATTCACCTTGTTCGCAGCAAACGACTGTTCCAAGTGGCTTCGCTTGCCTTCAGTTAGCTTCGATGACCGAACATTACGGAAAAGTTGGCGTAGTTTTTGAGATAGCTTCCCATTTCGAACACGCCTGTTTCGCGTTTGGTGCGTAGTTCATATTTATTTACTTTTATTATTACTAAAATAAACTTCTAACAATGCTTCGCGCGGAGGCATAGGCAAACATTCTCGTTTTCTTTTCATTTTCACTGCTTAACTTAATAACCATCTAATAGGTGGCGCCACCATCCCGGCTGCGGCACGTAAACCACTTAAACGCTATTCCGCTAAACTATAAAGACGCTTCTCGCAAGGAACGTTTGCTGCACGGTGACGCCATTCTCCTAACCTACGCTATCACGATAATGCTAAACTATAACTGTCTAATAATAAACAAACGTACCGTTGATATAGCAACTGGTGAGGCTGTTAGCGAAGCCGGCATTCAGTGAGCGACGCGTTTGTCACTCACGAAAGACAGGCCATGCAGCAGCATCAGCTGCTAGCGTGCCCTGTAGACGCGGCCCCTAACTGACATTTTATCATTCCCGCTTGCAAAATGAACTTGTGATTTGGTAGGCAGCCAGTAAGTAAGGATGCTGAGTGCAGCAAGAAGATGTGTGCAGTGCCCCCATAAACATGTTCTCCCATTTTTAATAGCACAGTACCAAATGGTACCTCCACTCTTAATCGTGTTATGCTTGACGTTCAAGATATAGATAGGAAGCGAGACCATTTTTCTTAAGTTTGTTGCACAGTCAACATATTACCCGGGGCATGAGTAAGAGCGTATGTGCTTCACGCCAACAAATTGTTATAGGTACCTAATTAGTTGCTTCTCTTATAAGTATTCACGCGATCTTGTTCAATTTCTGCTTTGCTGATCATCAAAAGCATGTGCGTTCCCCCACGCTGTTATCACGCGCCCAAGATTCAGCTTGCTGATCCCCGTGCAACACTTACGATCACCGTATGCACAAAAAATAGAGCATTTTAATAGAGAGCCGCTATATACGAAACTTTGGAAGAGGTGTCAATTTTGCACATATATGTCACGCACCAAGAAGGATTATAGGTCACAGAACGGGCGAATATAACATTGAAATGCCAGCACGCGCTTCATTGAGAAGCATGGTGACCACGGCTGCCGCGTGTCTCAAAGACCCGTCATGCTTTGAGAGAGATATAGAGAAAGCTTTATTAAAAGTCAATCAATTACTTCAGGCTAGGCTTGTCGCCTCTAGCTGTCGGCCGGAATCCCTGAGACACGGCAGCAGCAAGGGCTTGACTGATTAGGTCCCGCTGTACGTTGGCGTCTGGGCTGCGGAGCAGGGCCTGCCAGAATTTTAGAGTGTGGGACTTGGACATTTCCGCAACATGTGGGCTGAATTCGCTACCCCAGAACAAAATTTACTCTGGGACCGGAAAACAATTGGGTGCCACTTGCTGTAAAGTGCAGGG